GTATTTGAATCAAGGGACCCCTACATGTTTTAGTTTCACCATTAGTTTGAGTCATGACAGGATCTGGTTACTTTCCTGTTTAATTCAAACACTGTTACACTTGGTTATGTCCAGTCACCAAAATAGACAAGTCATTAATCATATGCAGTCATGCATATTTCAACGGGATGTGATACTTTAAGTGGCTTGTTCAATAAGCCTCACAATATTCTTTTGTGACAAAAAATTTAAAAAATTGTTTCTGTTACCATGTCTGTTGCTATTCTGCAAACATTGGTTTACCTATCCCAGACTTGATCACATATTGCATGATTGCATTACTATATCCCCTTATTGTTTAGTAACTTCATCTCTGATTATCTTCTTACCATAAGGGGTGGTCGGGTAGCCTAGTGGTTAAAGCTTTCGCTCGTCCCGTTGAAGACCCGGGTTAGGTTCCCGACATGGGTACAATGTGAGAAGCCTATTTCTGGTGTCCCCCGTCGTGATATTGCTGGAATATTGCTAAAAGCGGTGTAAAACCATACTCACTCGCTCACTCTTATCATAACATATGTCAAAAACCTATAAGAACCTATCGCTTTCTTGATCACAGTGAACTATTTGCAGTACAGTGAAACGTTTCCCTGTGCCATGTTTACCTTGTTTAACTTACGTCAGATTAAGTTATCTATCCCTATTGTTGATTGTGCCAGGTGGCCCTTTAGTGCAGTCACAGTTAGTGCACTCTACACCGTGATCTCATATTGACGTGTCATAGATAGGGTTAATATCGAGAATTGCAAGACAATGCCCAGTTCTTAATGCGAAACATGGAATTTGAACATGTTGAACTGTACTGAATATCAAGATATTTATGTGTTGATACAATGTTTCATGATACTGAATCAACATCATCAATATGCAAGATGAGATATTGATACAAATAAAATTACTGTAAACTATGTTTATAACAAACACACTTATAAGTTACGGATATAATGAACCAGTTTTTTTTGCTAATATCTTATGTAAAATTGATGGATATAATGAACATGCTCATAACGAAGTAACGGATATAGCAAACTCACTTTGTGGTCCCATGTGTACTCTGTCAATGATAATGCTTATGTTTATTACGAACAGTTAATCTCTGAACTGCTCACGTGTCACTATCAGCCTATCAAAACATCCGAGGACACGCATGGCTGTTTATTAATATTTGAAAAAGAGTTATATTTTTGTCAACAATGTTTCGCATTCTTTGAAAAAAACGCATGAAAATCTAGGACTCCTTGGGATCCCTAGATTCAAATAAATCGTCTCCGTGGTCTAGTGGTAGAGCATCCGCTTGGAGAGTTTAAGGTCCGGGGTTAGATCCCCAAAAGATCATACCAAAAGACGTTGACAGATGTACTTCTTGTTACTATGTCCGGTGCTCTGCATTAAGGGGCTAAAACAAGGACTGGTCGGCTTGGAGTCAGTATACTTTGTCTGAGTGGAGTATTCATGTTAAACTGGGGCATGGTATCTCAGTGGGCTAGTACTATAAATCGGCATTTGTCCAAATTAGTACAAGCAGCCACAGATGCGCACATGTGCATGCATGCACATCGCTATATAAGCGCAATAATCTTGAATGTGACGTTAAACCCCATTTCACCTCACCTCACCTAGATTCAAATATTGAATCAGCAAACATCCTATGTATCAAAGGATCCCACCTTAACATCTGAAACTTGGTACCGATATAGGATGTGGCAGACATGTGAGGGGAAGAAACATGCATCAGTAATACAAACTTTGAAATCTTTTCGTAATCATTCACAGTCCTGAGATCGATCATTTGTAATTTTCAGTCTATAGACCAATAGTGAAATATGAAATCATTAATGTCTATCCTTTCATGGGTTGACTCATTTAGTTCTTGATGGTTACGTACCGCTAGCAGTCTATCTAGAATGACTTACAGACTTCCATTGAAGTATAAACTGGATAGATGTAGTCTGACAGCATGGCCGTCATTTGTACTGCATAGATAATAGAAACAGGGGAAATTGGTGTAAAACTTTCCTACTAATGCAATCTTTCTGTTGAGAAGAGTGTTTAGAAAGTTGAGTTTGGCAAAGAGTAGGAATTGCATGAAACTGAGGGAGAATTTCTTCTGGTGTTTGAACAATTTGTTTGACTACACTCACACTTTATAAGCCATGCTAAGGCATTATTTTTGTATATAACACAGCTATGTGATAAAGTGCGAAGAACAAGGCGTTTATTTCACGATAAAAAAAATTCTAACATGATGTCATTTCTGGAGATTCGAATATGTGCTCGCAACTTGATGACGTCATATATTGGTACGCAGATAAACCCTGTAACTGAACAATCACATCAAAAGGTTGGAGAGATATGACGATAGGTATTGGGAGACAACTTATCCCACCTGTTCATAAAATAAACTTGTCCAACATTTACAAGGTCGGATACTTTTCAGGGAGTCATCATTATTGATAGTTCATTTTCATGTATACAAGTTAATAGAGATTAAACAGATGTTAGTCAAATGAAGATTTCAACAATTCTTTTCTCTAAACATATTAAATGAGACATCACGTTACGGGGGGGGGAAAGCAACGTATCAGTTCGGTTTGATAAGAGTACTAGATCTTGTCTTCATTGATGGTGCAGCTTTAGATGCCACTTACTTATGATATATCAGTAGAAATACACAAACATTGAGTTATTAGCCCTAAGTCTGCAGCAAATGCCAGTAAGATTTCACAAATTGGACTTAATGCACTGAACACACCTCTGGATTTACAAAAATAGTAACTTTTACCCAATTTTCAACAAAACGATGTTTTTTTCCCTAATTTGCATGCAAAGGGCACTTAGTTAAGAACTCTAGATAATACCCTGTGTAAGTGGCATTAATCCCAACTCAGTGACAGTTTACAATTTATCTTTTCTTGAATAACAGACGAAATGGGAAGATTATGTTTCTTACAACAGATGAGTAGTAAATACAAGGCAGGCTTCATACTTGTGCTTGGCATGCCATCCAGTATACAACTTCATCGAGCCAGTTCAGGACAGAGCTAAGTGTCAGCTAATTGGCCAATTGTGACTTCCAGCACTGCAGCATGGCACAGTGGAGTGTAATACAATACGTACTGCCCCACCTTAACAATCCTCTGTATGCCTACCGTGCAGTATATCACTTATCTTGGCTGAAATCAAAACGTACCAGGATGAATGGCCATATATATATGTTTTACTGGACGGTTTTATGACCACAGGAATGACAAGATAGGCTGACACTACAAAGTTGAAAATCTGTTTTTTAGGCAATAAATATAAGTGGCAGATTTAATTATGTTTGTAGTGTGTAAGTAAGTGTAAGTAGTGGTTTGGGCTGTAGGTAATTAGTATTGCCCTTCTGATGATGACAGAATATAGTACTTGTGTAGCTAATGTTTTCCTGACTACTGATCTTGTATGTGTTTAGTTGTTGGAGTTGGCAAAGTTGTGAAGTGTTGTAGGAAATATGCAATTTCAGATGGAAGTCCTGAAATTTGTGATTTCACTATGCACACCCTGATCAAGTGGTAGGTCTGGTATATCTTTGAAAATGTGTTTTTTGAGAAAGTTTGCAAAATACAGACACATCAAATTACCAGGCAGATTGGAGTTACTAAAGCGTTTCTGTTGCATGTGTTTACAATCTGTGTGCCATATGGATACAATCTAATGAATCAGTATATGTATAATGTGTGAACCCTTTATGGATATTGGGGTTTAATCAGTAGAGTAACAGCTCTATCCTGGATCTCACATCTTGTGAAACACTTACAGTCCATGGCAATACTTGGTGAAGCTATGATGTTAATTTTACCTGATTGTCCATTGCTGTATCAACGAAAGTATTCATAAAGAATTTATTTGAAGAATATTGGAGTTTTGTTTTGTTTTGTTAGAAACACAAATGCTTATCTACAATTCATTGTCTTATTGTCACATGAAATAGATATTGTGATGATTGAATGTTTTGTATTGAATAATATAAATAATTGTGTACTAACTACTATATAAGTTGTAGCAGGATCACAAGGGTTTTATACGTCACGTGTGTCATAGTGTGTCAATGTACCCATTAGGGCTGGGACGGGTAACTCAGGCACTCTCAGGTCCTTATGGGACATGGGTACCCACAGGACTACCCGGACGCATGGTTAAAAAAGTGATATATATTGTTTAATGACAAAATTTATCTAAAACTCTATTGTTACACTAAAAGTCACTAATGTTCCCATTTCTTTCTGACAATGCACCCATTCCTTCTTACTTTTATATGTTTGAATAAAGATAAAACTTCATGCATTAAACTTCAGTGTATGCATGGCCAGATTGCTTTACACATGTATCTAAATACATTTTGCCAGGGCTACAGTCAACTTTTCCAAATCGGACAGTTTGTATCGATCTCTAAATATCTGCAGCGGGTACCCGGGTAGGGTCGGGTAACAGGGTGGTGGGTACCCGGGTAGTAAATTTAGACCCGTCCCAGCCCTAGTACCCATACACATGGAATTGTCTACAGGGTAAAACCCTATTCCCTCCCACACTCACTGTTACCCACCATGATTCATGCATATTCAGTGTTCGAAATTGAGATGCCATTTTGTTAATACATGTAGTACTGTATGTCCTCAATTGAAGGCTGGGCCTTGAATAATAGCTGGGGTTTTGATTGAATGCTGGGCCTTGATTAAACGCAGGCACAGAATTCTCCCAATTACTATCTTTGAGATTAAAAGGTGGGCATAAAGAGTGTCCAAAAGATGTATACGCCTAGATGTTTAATGGAGGAAATACGGTAAACAGAACGGAGGTCCCTAGATACAGCACTACAGCAAACCTCATGGATCTCAGGACCATTCTTAAATTCAAACACTGCAAATTGTTACCTTTGTATTTGTTCTTGTCTTGATCTTAAAAACTTGTATTTTGATGTGTTTCAGTCCTACTTTGTGACGGACTATGACCCCACAATAGAAGATTCCTATACTAAACAATGTGTTATAGATGACGTTGTGGCCAGACTAGACAGTAAGTATAGCATGCAACACCTTCTTGGTCCATCCTGTTGGATCCCTGGGCACTCTAGAAGATGCCTGTACTAGACAATGTGTTATAGATGATGATGTGGCCAGTGGTAGACACCATGTACAGCAGGCACCACTTTGTCGATCCATCCTGTTGGATCCCATGCCACTAGGGCTGCAACAAATACACTATAAGGCGAATACGATTCATATCACGAATATAGGGTAACGAATACGAATATTAATTCACAATTACAATAAAAAGTCAGCAGTTTATGTATTATTTATTATATTCAGTGAAACAATAACATAATAATTTATTTGACATGGTTTGTTAATTATTAATAAATTATACATTTATATACTGCACTTATCCAGGTACTAGTATCTGTTCAAATGCGACAATGACCAGTGAAAACAATACTATCAAATTAAATATTATTAGAGTGTTGACATTGAAAGAAATCTATGCATATAATATGTTGTTATGGATATTTTTAGGTACAGGGTATGTAAATATACATGATAGCATATTCATAAATATTCGATTCTAGTGGCCATGAATAACGAATTCAATTCATGAATGGTTACGGTTCGATTCACCGAATACGCGAGTGAATCGTAACAGCCCTACTGGCCACTATAAAAGATGCCTGTACTAGACAATGTGTTATAGATGATGATGTGGCAAGTGGTAGACACCATGTACAGCAGACACCACTTTGTCGGTCCATCCTGTTGGATCCCTGGCCTGTATAGACATTTTCGATATGACTAGGTCCTTTCACTTTCAGTCTTAATTTCAAACACTGCAGCTGCTGGTCTTTGGGTCTGTGTCAAGTAGAAATGTCATAGGGCCTGCTGCTAGTGAAGTCAGTGATCCAGTGGGCCTGTCACAAGAAACCTGAATGATCAAAATGTTCAATGTCCAAAACCTGTGGAAAGTACAGGCAACCTGGACAGTCATCAGCATCTTGATCATCATATCTGGCTTACAACAGATAAGTCCAGGAAGAATATTTAATGTGGACATGGTGAAAGATAGCCGTGTTGGCTGGTCGGTTTTTGAATGGCCAGTTGGTGGCCAGTGAATTGCATATGCTTAATTATCTTCCAAAACTGGTTAGCACAGGTGATATCGCTTGGATGAGATCAAGAGATATCTAGATTGTAGATATCGCTGCAATGAAATTGCATCACAATGCTTCTCAGACCAGTGTGACGTCATTGGTTACCATGACATCACAATCAAATGACATCACTAATGGCTGAAGCTGTTAGAAGTACTTTTTACACCTACGACACTCTTTATTAAGGTCTACAAACTGAAAAAGTTGGAAGAATGATGTTGGATGATAAACAAGATCTCCACCTCGTGTCTTTTGATATAAAATATATCAACACTCATTGATAAAAGTGGAAAAAATCATCGGCAAGCCTCAGAGTTTTTCCACTTTCATCAACTTGTGTTGATATATTTGATATCAAAAGACATTCGGGTGAGATTCTCTATATCTGCCCCTGGTTTACATAACAACAGAATTCAGTATATGGACTAGCTGGAAAAATGCAATGTCAGGAAGATTTCACAGGAAGTTTATGCTGCAAGTATACATGAAAAGTATGTAAGGTCCTGTCCAACTTGCCTTTATCAACATAGCATTACCTAAGTCTATCTATCTTCCATAACAGTCAGCATTCCACATAGTAAAAGTTAAGTGAGCTTACTTCAGATGCTGGTGTGATAAAAAACACTTTATTTGCAAGGCAATTACTACAGCTCGTTAGTGTGTCAGATTTGCTGTGTCTGTTGATCGCAAGTGTAGATGTGGACCGAACAGCTTACATTGAGGTATTTATTGTAGACGAGCCAACTGTATGAATTACCAATTAGCCTTCCAAGCACAGGAAGTTGGATGTGAGAGATCGTTCTGTGTGTTCTCAAGTCTTTTTGCAAATGTGTTTGAGATGGTGGTACGAAATGGTCACAGTTTGAGAGATGAGGTTTACTTCTGGTCAACATCTATTGAGCATGTTGAGAACCATGTTGAATTTACTGATTTGGACTCACAAATGTAAAGACAGAAAACCTGTGACTAAAACAGATGGCCTTGCATGAAATGTTTTCAATGTCTTAGAATTAAAAGAGATAAGTAATTTTTTTAGAAACTTTGTATTTTGTACTCCAGGAAAAAATAACCAACTCTTCCCAGAAACAATCAGCCCCATGTTAAAAGTTAAAGAGCAGAAATTTAATTAATTCTCTCCCCTGTATCCATGACTACGACACATGGCAGCGACTGACCATGCTGAGTAATATTTGCTTGAGTATGTTGAAGACAGGATCTATTTGTACAGTCCATGTCAGTCACTGTCGGACATTTCAACTCCCAATATATCGCAATATGTATTGCAATACAAAAAGCCTGCTTCGCAATATATTGCAATACAAATGTTTTGCCAATACACAGCTCTACAGTTGGGTGTGGTCCTCTATTCTCTATTTTTGACCATTTATGGGATGTAATTGTTTTAGTGATAAAAAGAATGAGCTGTTTGCAGTGTAGTCTATATTAGTTTTGAGCTTAGTGCTTTATTTTGAGAAGATATTTTGAAAAAAAATCAGGCACTGTCCAACTTGCCCAAACCATCTGCACCATGTTCCAGTTATACAACGGACATGTTTTGTTGTTGTTGTTGTTTTCAGCAGTTTTCCTGTCAGATTGTTATCCCTGTGTTTGCAGAAGTAAAGTGTTCCTTAGTAAGATCAAACAAGTGTAGCTTCCTGGTGTTGGATCTGTCTTGAGGAAGACTGTCATTTGTAGGTACATGTACCACTGTAAATGTATGGAAAGTCTTCAATAACAGAAATTGTCTTAATTATGAACCATGCTTTAGATACGATCATTACTCGTCAAGTTAGTTACTTCGACTATAGCAGCTTGGACAAATTACCTCTAAGATACCAGATACCTTGATGTGATTTGTCATGAATCATTTTCCACAAGTAGTCTTGATTTTAAAAAAACGCTTATTAGTCTACTGGCCCTAACCCATCATTTAGTTTTAAAATGCACTGTCAGCTATATTTCCGGAAAGAGAAAATTATGAGAACAGTCTGTGCCTAAACATTTTGAGAGCACTTGCACACCTTGTCTCTTGGTATCATTTACCGAAAATATTTGTGTTCATATATAGACTGTAGTAGCAGCTGGGATTAAAGACCACATGACTTTTGACTATACTGAGACTTATCTTGTGGCTTTCACTAACATCTAGTCTCTGAAATGGAAATATTTTGCAGAAAAAGAACTTTTTGAAATTTCTTAATAAGATTAATAGAGACTCTAAGAGACTCTCTTCATTTCCTGAAACTGCAGTAATCTAGACTTGCCATGTATTATAGACTTACTTGGATATATGTGTTTCAGGGTCTGTATGACCGACTACTGGTGGCTAAACATGCTTAGGTATTGTCTCTAGCTTTGGTGTGATGATGGTGTGCAAAGTTACTAGTGTTAGTCTTGTGTATCTAGAATGGATCCTGAGTTACATGTAGCTTGTATGGGGATACCTAGTGGATCGAGTGGTCAGATCACTGACTTGGTTGGTTGTATGTCATTGTACCTTACTTGTTTGGAACGTTGCTCATAAAATAATGTGTTGGAAATGAAAGGGAACAGAGGTATTTGCTTCCATAGATTCACAAAGCACAACTGGAAACAGGAACTATATCTTTCATTGTACAGTGTCTTTAGACAGGAACTTAGATATGACAAAATGAAATTGTATAGAAAACTTTGATAAAGTGTGTCTCTTACCATTGAGCATGACATCAAACAGGAAACAATGAACAGAAATATAATGTATATTGTAGGTGGATATGAAACATATTCACTAACATTTATACAACAGATAAATTTAGATGTTTATTGAAGTGTAGTTAGCATTTGCAAGATTAGAGATCACGCTTTCGAGAAACAGGAAATTTCCTTGTTTGGAATATTTGGGATCTTAAAGCAGTTATAGGATGTTTATGTGACTCATTTTGTTATATAATCCATGTTGATGTATTGCTCCTGCTCAGCAACAATAGGCAGTAAAATTTTATTATAACAGAGGTTTTCTTCCGTATTGTATGTATCATAGATTAGGAATATTACTTGTTTTATGCTTCCCTTTGTCTGATGTCAGTCTTAAAATGATAAAAGTTGAAGACATATTCTATTTATTGTGTCTTTTTATCTGAAATTGTGTTGGAATACAATGGCTGTAAACTGTCCTGTATATTATAGAGTGCCAACCAATTAGTGGCCATGTTGGTTTAAATCAGTTTTCACACAGTTTTTAAGCAAGTCGGCATCACATCCATAGATAGAGTTTACTAAAAGTAGTTCTTTCTAGATGACCTCATTTTCATATTATTGAATCGTAATACCAAGTGGGTTAGTTTGTCACATCAATAATGGCCACCTCCATAGTCTAGTGGTAGAGTGTCTGCCCAAAGAGGGCAATGTCTGGGGTTCGATCCCCAGGTACATCATACAAGAGGGTACTTGTTGTTACCATGCCTGGTGCCCTGCTCGGTGTCAGTATGCTGTGGTGTCTGAGTGGGTTTTCATGTTAAACTGTGGCATGGTATCTCAGTGGGCTAGCACTATAAAATTGGCATTAGTCCGGACTAGTATAAGGGTACATAGACACGCACACACACTCTGAAACTTGAACTATTTACCTATATTAGGCAAGGTACTAAACCAAACCAAAATACTGTTGATGGTGCCACTACAGCCCCTCATTCCATGAAGGGAGGACTAGACAAAGTGACAATCCTAGCCTCACATTTGATTCATGTCATTCCAACATCACTTTTCCTGCCGTTTCCCGTCACACCAAAGACAAGTTTTCGATTACCCACATGGTTACAATGTGTGGAGCTCATTTTTGGTATCGCCCTACATGATAATTGCTGAAATATTGCTGAGAGCGGCTTAAAACCATACT